ATCTTCTTTCTGCTTCTTTTCATTCATTCTTGTATGTCTGATGTTGTGACAGTCGATGTCTTTTTATACTTTATGAATGAAATATATAAACAAATTAAATAAATAAATAAACATATGTATTGATGAATATAAAATGTGACATATATTTCACATGGAGAAGAGGAGGACACATACTGGCTGCATGAGGTATGACTGATGGGGCATCCAGGACGCGTTGTGTACCTGAAAACCACACACAAAAACACAACATGAAATGATCTGTAAACGTTGAACACATTTGTTATTTTCAGTTATTTGTCATGTTGGGTTTGCACAGTCCTGAGAGGAGGTTCATTAGAGTTATCACACATGAATAATATGATCATATTTCTTTGGCTTGCACATAACAGTACATGGGCTTCTGTATTGGGGTGCCTCGGTGGCTCACCTGGTAGAGCGCATAGCACGCATTGGAGCGGCCCGGGTTCGAGTCCCGGCCACTTTGCTCCATGTCATTGCCCCATCTGTCTGCCCCATTTCCTGCCAGCCTACTGTATCTGTCAAATAAAGCCTAAAAGCCAAAGAAATACAGCTAAATATGTGCTCGTTCACAACATGCACACAGCAAGTTTACTTCAATAGCTCTAAACATTTAGTATTTAACAACAATAGAATTCAGACTGGTGAAATCTAATTCATAAATCTATTGAATTAAGTCGTCAGAATGGCGTCTATAACAAGAAAGTGAAACCAATGAATAGGACAAAACAGCTCTAGAGTAGTAAGTGTTGGCGGGGACCAAAATACAGGGAGTTTAGACTGAATCAAAGGATCTGTACCCGATTGTTGTTGTTTTTTTTTCACATATTTGAGCAAAGTTTGTCTCGTATAAGGGTCCGGTCAAGTGGTAACGGAGGGACACGGGCAGATTTTTTACATTCAAATAGCTCTTATTCAGAAACTAGAGGGACTATTGAAATAAGTAAAGTATCAGAATGTAGGAAAGAGTTAACACTCCAACAGGGTAAAGTTAAACCTGTGATATTCTTTCAAGTTGTTGGCAAAAAATTTAAAAACTCATGTCGGTAACGGAGGGAATGAAATATGCAGCACTTTTTGGGCAATAAATACAAACAGTGATAACTAGCGGTTCTCACTTACATATCCTTAACAAACTGGTTTGAATATTTGCTTCATATAGTTTTCTACCATATGGTACAAGATTAGGTTGAAAAACCTCTTACTTTTTGAGTAATGAGATTTTTTATTAAGAAAGGTCATGGTAACGGAGGGAAAAGTAACAGAGGGAAAATTGTTACAAAACAAGTAGAAGGTGCATGATTTTACATAATTTGTCATCTTTTTTCTTCCTGAATACTTTAATATTACTTCAAAATGAAAGGAAACTATTTCTATAAAATATGTCAGTCCTTCCAAGCAAATTTTTATCATTTTAAATAATCTTTTTTTTTTTTAAATCATGTACCTTCATCAACAGTTCAAAGATCGAATAGCACAAGATATGATGAAATACATCCATTTATTTACATGATTTGCAGGTCTTTGAAATTTGGGAAATATTTTTTGTTCCATGTTTCATACATGGTCTGTTTAAAACGTATGTAACTTTAGAACCAAAATGGTACAGAAAAAAAGGTAAACAGTTTCATAAACTAGAGTACATATGTATCTGTTGAATACATTTTTATATCAGATGCCATTAACTTGAATATTTGGCCTTGCTGTTTACTTCTGCTTGACTGGGCCCATAAGCAGCTCTTGAGGTCAAAATAAAACTGCTTTGTACTGTTTACATCAAATTATAATGTGGTTTATAGTCTGATAGCTTTACCACACTGATTAAGATTGTGAAAAGAGCTTCTAAACTCACTGAAAATTTAAGATGCTCTGAATGCATAAATTAAGTGAGGAAGAACTTTGGACCACTGCAAACTGTTTCAAATGAAAGCTCTGTTTTGCACATTTTATGACAGTAACAATCAGGTACAGCGCCTTTAATGGAGAAAACACTTGAGGAACAGTTTTATACTCAGTCTTTTTAGAATAAATGTCATGTTTTCTCGAGGATATGGATTAACTTTATGATTCAGTAAAGTTACGCAAGCCTCTCCGTGTTTCCACGCTTGGGCCTGTTAATAAATACACCGGCTCGTTTGTGTTTTTACGGCAGATAGAAGAGATTAAAGTGAGAGTGACCTGGTAGGAGGAGACAGGTGAATGCATGTACGGCAGAGAGGTCTGAGCAATCATCCGGTTTGGGCCCAGACTGTACGGCGATGAGTAGAACCTGCAAACAAACAACAAAGTCACGGTCAACATTCTAGTCTTTTTTTTTTTTTTTTTTTTTTTTTTAAATAATCAAACTGAAAGTCCAAATAAAGTGTGGAAAAATATATTACTCTCACTTTGAAGCATACACAATTCTCTAAAAAATCCATTATAATTTGCACAGAATATTTTCATTTTTGTGTAACTTTTCTGGAGGAGATTCTGTTATATTTTTATCTCCATATACAGTAGATGTTATTTTATGGCCTTGAACACTCCACAGTATGACATTAAACTTGTCTATCTCCATGGAGATGGCAGCAGACACGAACAGGTCAAGTTACAAATCGGATCTAGGGAGCGGCAACTCTGCTCACAGTAAGAATGCATGTTTTTACAAGTATTTTTTGAAGACATTTGATCAAATAAATGCTAAATAGATAAGTTTAATGCCATAGTGGAGCATTCCAGGCAAAGGAAGAACATTTCCATGGTGACAGAAGAGGTGTTGGATTAGTAAAGTTACATATTGCACCTTTAAGATACACATATTGATTTTTTAAATACAATATTATCATTAAAAAATTCAAATCACAATAGCTCAGAGGTGGGGTCATCGTTTTACAAGTCTCAAATAAGTCTCAAGTCCCAAGTCAAGTCGAGTTTCAAGTCACTGGTCCATAAATCCAAGTCAAGTCTGAGTCGTCTTGAGCTTCAAGTCATTTCAAGACTTTAACCAAAGCACCAAATTCGATTTTTGCAATTTATATGAATTTTTAAATAACTTGTACTTAAAAAGTCATAGTATATTTATATATTAGTATGTATAGGGTTTTTATGAGTTGTAGAAATTTAAATTTTTCCTTTATAAATGTCTTGATAAGATCTTAGAGTGAATCATTATGGTCAGAGCAGAAAGAATTCAGATTTAAAAGTGCTTCTCAAGTCTTCTCAAGTCACAGGCCTCAAGTCCGAGTCAAGTCCCAAGTCATTAACCTTGAAGTTCAAGTCGAGTCCCAAGTCTTAATCTATTTTATCAAGTCAAGTCTCAAGCCCTAAAAATACGACTTGTAAATCCCACCTCTGCAATAGCTAATCCTCAGTGTGAGTTTAAATATTAAATAAATCTGACTTATACTTATATATAATTCACTATTCAGCAGTGAAACAAATGCTATATTATTTACTATAGTCTTATAATGTGTCCTGTTGTGCAAAAAAAAAAAAATTCTGTTTATCCTGTGCTTCCTTTTGCGTCCAGCAGGGGGAGGTGCTGGCCGGCTCTTCCACATATTTGTGTAGAGGGCTGGGGTTGTTTTGAGCCCTGCATACCATCTCACTCACCCGTTCTGTAAGGCTGTGGGGTCATACGCTAGCGTCATTCCTCCCTGCAAAAACAATGCACGTTATTCACAAACAGGCTTCACGACACCGCACACAACACACACACACACACACTCACACTAAATATACATTATATATGACTTCTGAGTTTTAAATAGAAGTTGTTGGTGGTAAAAGTACAATGTGTAGACCTACAGGAGTTTTCTTGGGCTACTGTGTGTTGCCCAGAAATATAAAGTACAACCAAATATATAAATATAATCAGCTAATATTGTAGTGTGTAGTATGGGTCAGATAGTTTTTATGTTATTGACAACTGGGCAGAGATGGTAGAGTAACCTAAAATAGTACTCAAGTAAGAGTAACGCTACTTCAAAATAATATTATTCAACTAGAAGTATTATTAATAGTAAGGGATGTAACAACTGAAATATTGTGATATCGTATCATCAAAGGTCTCACAATAATATCGTGGACCATCACAATATATCAAATTACAAGTCTCTTTGCTTAAATTAAGAGTTATGGTGCAGCAATAGCTAAAAAAAGACAGAGGGAACTACATAGACCATGATCCTTTGCTCCATTTCAGTGTAGACTACAAGAAGAAATAACAATTTTGAGCACTTTGAAGTCGTACTTCTTTGGATTAAGTCTTGTCGAGAAAAAAGTAGCATATTAGCCTTGAAAAAATACCACAATAAATACTGTACAGTGAGATATATATCGTGAAAATATTGTACAGAGAGATTTGGATATTGTTACATGACGTGAGCTTTCCCACGATATCGCAATAAATATCGTATCATGAGAGTCATATTGTGATGATATCGTATTGTGAGACTTGGATATCATTACACCCCTAGTATTAGTAAAAATTATTTGGGAAAAGTACTTCTCCAGTAAGAATAACTTAAAGACTAACAGTCAGGATGTAATGTTTGATTTATAGATACAGCGATAGTTAGGTAGAGCGACAGATAGATAGATAGACAGATAGTGTTTTACTTTATTACTTTATATATCAAAATATTTTATTGATCCCCAAGCAGAAATTCAGGTTTTTCTGGATCAATATTTATAAAACCCATGTCATTGTTTTTGATCATTTTGTTGAATTTTGTTGTTCATCTTGTTGTATTTGGTGATTATCTTTGAACTCTGTCTTAGTTTTTTGTTCAGATTTGATTTATTATTTGTCTAACAGTCAAGTATGAGTGAGTGAGTGTGTGTGTGTGTGTGTGTGGTTATGTTGATTTTGTTGTTTTGATGTTTATTTGAATTTATATATCCTGCATTACTGTATCAAGTAAAATCAAATTCAAATTCAAATTAGTCACAGTTATTTACATTTAAGTACAAAGTTACTGTAAATACAACAGAGTAAATGTAACTGAACTACCCAGCTGTGTAACTGGGGCAGACCAAGTGCCCTTTAACCTTTGTGTAAATAATAAAAGACTAGAATCACAAATGAACCAGGCTAAACCAGCTAAAACACGGAGCAGTCAGTAAAACTTTTCAACCAACTTTCAAATGTTATAAAAGTGACTGATCACATGGGCCACATTATCCTCAATTACATCAAACTGCACAAACTAAAAGCAGTCATTTAACAAAACACGCTGCAAAAGTGAAGGACAAAGACGAAAACTGTGCTGTTAAAATTTGAAAAGTGTAATGTAGTTGAGTCATCCTTTCAAAAATGATTCAAATGAAAAATGAAACTATGAACCGTGAACCAAAAATGAAATGAAAAAGTTCAAATGAATGAGCTAAACGAAAGAAATGATGACTACAAATAAAAGTCATATAAAAGTAAAAGTAGTATAGTATTTTTCACATATATATATTTGGACAATGTACAGGCCAATAATATTTAACACAGATGGAGGGAAGCTTCAAATGCAGGCAGATTTCTTTTCTAATACCGTGAGTTCTTGGGCCTAGTCACTTTTAGAAATGACAAGGTACAACATTTGTGAATTTACCTTTTGGAGATTTCATGTCAAAGTACAATCTGATCTGGCTCTAACCTGAAATACTCACAAATGATAAAACAGATCAGTTTATTTTCTTATTTAAACACCTCAGGAACGTCCACACTACTGTATATTAACTGAGCCTATCCATCTAAAAGTCATAGGCCAAGAACCTTTAAGTGGAAATGTAAGTATTATGATTATTGTAAGGAGAAACATCATGATATATTTTCATGATATGCATCTCACTGTACGATATTTATTGCAATATTTTGTGTATTTTGTTAGAACCCAATAATGAAGATTTAAAAGAGTTTAATTAGGGCCTGTCCCCCTGGATTTAAGTCTGGTTTTAAGTCTGGCCTTGGTCTGATTTTAGGCCCCATCTCCCTGGTTTTAAGTGTGGTTGTAGGCCCCGCCATCCTGGTTTTAAGTCTGGTCTTAGTCTGGTCTTAGGCTCCCTGGTTTAAGTCTGGTCGTAGGCCCCATCTCCCTGGTTTTAAGTCTGGTCTTAATTTGGTGTTAGGCCTCATCATCCTGGTTTTAAATCTGATTTTAGTAGTCTGGTGTTAGACCCCATCTCCCTGGTTTTAAGTCTGGTCTTAGTCTGGTTTTAGGCCCTGTCCCCCTGGTTTTAAGTCTGGTCGTAGGCCCCGTCCCACTGGTTTTAAGTCTGGTCTTAGTCTGGTTTTAGGCCCTGTCCCCCTGGTTTTAAGTCTGGTCTTAGTCTGGTTTTAGGCCCTGTCCCCCTGGTTTTAAGTCTGGTCGTAGGCCCCGTCCCCCTGGTTTTAAGTCTGGTCTTAGTCTGGTGTTAGGCCCTGTCCCACTAGTTTTGAGTCTGGTCTTAGTCTGGTTTTAGGCACTGTCCCCCTGGTTTTAAGTCTGGTTGTAGTGCATGTTGCCGGATACCACAAAAAAAAAAGCATTGCAGTCTAAATGAGAGAAGATAAAATCACGCAAACAGTAAATAAACAGAAAAATATATTACCGTGTCTGAGTCTCTAGCCCAGGGCCGTCCGTTCTGGAGATACTTCCCCTGGTTCTGTCTCTTCTTCTGGCCTCCGTCGGCGAACTTGCACAATAATGGCTCTGTGGGAGCTGGAGTTCAAACACAACAGAGGACTCAGAGACAGCACCAAAACAACAACAGACATATCAGGTTACCATGGCGCTCTGCACAAACGCCGCGCACATACCAGGCACTCCCGGGGGCGTCTTGATAAATTTGCCATTGAAATGTTGTATTATGGCCTCACACTTCTCCGTGGACTCCATTCTGAAAGCATAATGAGCGTTGAGAGAGAGTCAAGAGGGATACTTGAAGCTTTTGTGGTTTCGACATTAAGGTTGAATGGTTTTATAATGGTTTTATATGATATCTCCCTGATGTGCAGCTTTCAGGACACAGAGCAGACGCTTTATCAGCCTGTCTCCTCACGCTAACGCAAGAGTATGTTCTGCACGTCCAGCAAAAAAGAAAACGAAAGCTAAGTCCCATTGACAATGACTCTTATTTTAATTTCATGAAACTAAACAAAAAAAACACACAAAAAAAAAGAACAAAAACGCTTTGAATCAACGCTATTTAACAGAAAATAGCCAAATTTAGAGAATGAGAACTCTGCTCCAAACCGGAATCCCAATGGCCAAAGTTTGCTTTTGAGATTCATTTAATAAATAAGTGAGCATGGGGGCGCTTCCAGTTCCATCAACTCTGGCTCCGATTCCCTTTGTATTGAAAAAAATGTCATCCCTCTCTCTGTAACTGCTGCGCAGACTCCTCATTTTGTTCTGAAAATGTTTGTATTAACCCGCTCTACATGATGCCAGTGTTTTTATTTCACTATTTTGTCGGTAAATTAATTCTTATTCCTAATATAGAACTGGCACCATATTCCAAGCCTCCATGAGCTTCATTTGACTGGAGCCGAATGCACACTCCTTTAGTCCACTTTATACAATCTATGCTTGTTTTCTAGATGTATATGCCGTATTTTCTGCACTATAGGACGGGCTCATAAGCCTCCAACCCCATCAAAAAACGACCCACAATCCAGAGCGCCCTATACACGAATTCACTCGGGTGTCCCAGCACGACTTCAGTAAACTACAAAGCCGCACCACCCACAGCGCACGCAAACACACAGACAGCGACCGCACAGTGAAACACACCCACAGACACACTCATCACTCCACGCTGACGAGGAACAGAACGGAGGAACGAACCGAAAAAGTGAGTGCAATGTGCCACTTCTAGACACAACTGAACAACTGAGTCACTGCGAACACGCCGACAATCCAGCGGTCCCAGACAGCACCCTCCCTACACGCCACAACTGAACAAAGCCCAGAGTCACCGTGAACGCCCACAAACAAAGTCCCACTGTCCAACTGTTGTGTTTCCTTTAAAGTCTGGTGCAGTTTATTTGTGAAAAATTTTGAAAATAGACCATTTAATGACAGTGCGTCTTATAATCCTATAGTGCAAAAAATACAGTATGTTATTTAACCAGTTTATTTTAATCCTGTTTTCTTCATTGTTTGTTATTGTTATTAGATTTAGACTTAGACAAAGTTTATGGATCCACAAGGGAAATTATTTGGACACAGTAGCTCACACATCACAATAAATATAATAACAAAGAGTAAAAAATATAAATGGTGATAATAAATTCTAAATAAGTAGCAAAAAAAGAGCAAGAGACAAGACATAATTATACAAATCTAACAAATTAACAGGACATAGGGTTATCTGTTCCATAAGGGTGAGTTGTTGTACAGTTGTAGGGAGTATTATCTGTTCCATAAGGGTGAGTTGGTGTACAGTTGTAGGGAGTATTATCTGTTACATAAGAGTGAGTTGTTGTATAGTTGTAGGGAGTATTATCTGTTACATAAGAGTGAGTTGTTGTATAGTTGTAGGGAATATTATCTGTTACAATTACCGTGTTTTTCGGACTATAAGATGCACCGGATTATAAGACGTAATATCAATAATGTTGAATTCTTTCGTCTATTTTCAAACATAAGGTACACAGGATTATAAGGCGTATAAAGTGAAACAAATGGACGACACTTGAGACTGACCCAGGCGTCCATGATCCATTGGCAGATCGTGGCGTAATTCGCCCGCCATTGCCTCCCTGTCTTGGTGAATGTGTGTTATGAATGTGAATAGTGGTGCATCATTTAAGTTTGTTTTTTTTATTTCCTACTTGGATGACTCAAATATACATTGAGTAATATTGTGTTTGCAGCTTTGTGCACATTTGTTTACGTTTTACAGAAACAAAACTTAAAACCACATGGCTCATTTGCATAAACTATAAGCAGCTCGCTCCTTGTGGCTGATGCAATCAACTTCTGTTGGACCAAAGGACACGACTCAGTGGAATAAATGTGTCCCTTCTGTGATGAAGGTGACAAGGCAAAAGTCAAAACTATACTTCGCCCTTTACTCCTGACTACGTTAGCCGTAATGCTCCGACAATCCATCAAGCGGTGCAGCTTCGTAGTTTAACAAAGTTGTACTAAAACATTTTGACAGATTTTTGAGCACCGTGTTCCACATAAAATCCGTTCAAGGTTAGTAAGCACAACCAGAATTAATACATAAGACCCACAGAATTATAAGGCACACTGTCAATTTTTGAGAAAATTAAATGATTTTAAGTGCGCCTTATAGTCTGAAAAATACGGTACTGTATGTGTTACGTTTTACTAGGGTTGTGTTAAATTTACAGTACACATAGTTTTTACTTGACGTGACTATTGTGCATGTTGGGGCCTGACTTTCTTTGTTATTCTTCAGTTCTTATAGGATTTATATTCCACAATTTTCTGGTGATATAATGTTGTTTCGTTGTTGTGTTTTGTTTCTTTCACACATTTTTAACACACAAACCCTGCATATTTAGGCTTAGGAATTCTTCTCACAAATTCCACTGTGTTTTCAAACTCGATACACCTTCACTAGAATTATTTCCATAATTTCAGCTCTAGAACTGTCAATCTTTGCCAAACAAATATAAAATGTAGCTGTTAACTTGAAAACTACCACTACATGACATCACAAGGTGGAACAGAGCATTTTGAGCTTTGGAGATGTAGACAGACTAATAATAAAAAGTACAAATGAAACAAAACACAACTCCAGGTCTGTTTTTGAGGATGTAACAGCATTATAACAAAACTTAAAGCTCTCAAGAGTCCGTTTAGTGTAATATAGGACTTTTAAAGGGCACAGACCTGGCAAACCCGACCCCGCGGCTGGTCCCGTTGGCGTCTCGGAGGATCCTGGTGGAGATGACCTGACCAAAGGACTTGAGCATGCTCTCCAGCTCCTGCTCGTCCATGGACACAGGCAGGTTGGAGATGTACAGGTTTGTGGGGTCCTGTTCTTGTTGCTGTGGAGAGACATGACAAACATTAGAAACACTAATAGTTAAAGATTCATTGCGTAGCTTTTCTCCATGGAGATGTTATTGCTTTGTCTGGCGTGTTTCACGATATGGTGTTAAACCTTTTTATCTTCATGGAGACCCTCTTAATTATTCAACACATCGAGTTTGTAAGTGCTTTTTCAAACTTGCAATTTTGTTGTGGCTGGAATACCAACAACAACTAGCATGCTCACAAGGCACTTTCTGTGGTTCAAAAAGGAATGGTGCACATTTTAACTCACAGGAATTTGACCAAACTTATACAAGCATCCCAAGAATGTCATAACAAATGTAGTAGTAGTAGTAATAGTATTAGTAGTTGGAGTAGTAATAGTTGGAGTAGTTGGAGTAGTAGTACTAGTTAGAGTAGTAGTAGTAATAGTAGGAGTGGTAGTAGTAGTGGAGGTAGTAGTAGTTGGAGTAGTAGTGGTGGTAGTAATAGTAAAAGTAGTAGTAGTAGTAGCTGTAGCAGTAGCAGCAGCAGCAGCAGTAGCAGCAGTAGCAGTAGTAGTAGTAGTAGTAGTAGTAGTAGTAGTAGTAGTAGTAGTAGTAGTAGTAGTAGTAGTAGCTAGTAGTAGTAGTAGTAGTAGTAGTAGTAGTAGTAGTAGTAGTAGTAGTAGCAGCAGTAGTAGCAGTAGTAGTAGTAGTAGTAGTAGTAGTAGTAGTAATAGCAGTAGTAGCAGCAGTAGTAGTAGTAGTAGTAGTAGTAGTAGTAGTAGCAGTAGTAGCAGCAGTAGTAGTAGTAGTAGTAGTAGTAGTAGTAGTAGTAGTAGTAGTAGTAGCAGTAGTAGTAGTAGTGGAGTAGTAGTAGTAGTAGTAGTAGTAGTAGTAGTAGTACTAGTAGTAGTGGTAGCAGTAGTAGTAGTAGTGGTAGTAATAGTAAAAGTAGTAATAGTAGTAGTAGTAGTAGTTGGAGTAGTAGTAGTAGTAGTGGTAGTAATAGTAAAAGTAGTAATAGTAGTAGTAGTAGTAGTAGTTGGAGTAGTAGTAGTAGCAGTAGTAGTAGTGGTAGTAATAGTAAAAGTAATAATAGTAGTAGCTGTACTAGTAGCAGCAGCAGTAGTAGTAGTACTAGTACTAGTAGTAGCAGTAGTAGTAGTAGTAGTAGTAGTAGAAGACATGTAGTCTTACTTCACTCGCAGTGCAAATTGAGAACACACAATGACTTTAAAATGATAACTTTAACTTCAGTGTGATCCATCATGTTTCTTTTTTCTCTCTTTTCTCTGCATATTTCTTTCCTCCCTCCCTCGTCCTCACGTCGTCATGTGCTCCACAGACTGTGGCTCTCACACTTTGATTAAAACGTGTGGATGGATGGATGTTGGATGTGAGCGGAGGAGAGCGGAGGAGGAGAGATACTCTGGATATGAGAACAAAGTGAAAGTGTGCTGTGCAGCTGACACACAGGAAGAACCGTGACCTTTGAGAGGTCAGCGGCCGCGTCCCAGCTCTGTTCTCCTCACTCCTTCAAAACCCTTAGTCTGAAATCTCACCCGAGGACGAGAGAAGCACGACAATTCCAAAACGATTATCTCACAGTATTCAAGAACTGATTTGGTAACTGTAGATATGTAGTACCATACCTACTGTACAGTATATGACTTTATCATTACATGACAATCTGTGTATCATTCATTTCGTATTTTCTTCATTATTTGTCTCCAAAACCCAAATGAAAAAACAGATAATGATTTGTTTTTTCAGGTTTTGATTTTGTGTTTAAATGAATAATGGAAAAAAACGGATAATGCCATTTCCTGTTTACGTGACATAAACTGCGATGTGAGACTCTTGTGCCGCATATGGACTGAACCAGGACTAAAACAGGACTAAAACGGGACTTAACCGTTTTCACTCCTAGTCTGATCCCAGTCTCAGTCCCGGTCTCAGTTCTGGTTTGGTCCCAGTCTCAGTCCCGGTCTCAGTCCTGGTCTGGTCCTGGTCTCAGTCCCGGTCTCAGTCCTGGTCTCAGTTCTGGTCTCTGTTCTGGTCTGGTCCTGGTCTCAGTCCTGGTCTCAGTCCTGGTCTGGTCCCAGTCTCAGTCCCAGTCTCAATCATGGTCTGATCCCTATCTCAGTCCGAGTCTCAGTTCTGGTCTGGTCCTGGTCTCAGTCCTGGTCTCAGTCCCGGTCTGGTCCCGGTCTCAGTCCTGGTCTCAATCCTGGTCCTGGTCTTGGTTTGGTCTCAGACTCAGTCCCAGTCTGGTCCTGGACCTGATTCAGTCCTGGTTCAGTCGGAGTTCAGTTTAAAATGCGATGATGTAAACAGGAAATGGTCGTTATCAGTTTTTTTTTTCCATTATTCATTTAAACACAAAATCGAAAACTGTTTTTTCATTTTCAAAACACTTTTTGTACAAACATTTTAATCATTAAAACTGTGAAAATGTCAAATTTGTCGCATAAAAGAGTTTCCTTCCACTAAACAAACAACAACAATTTAGTAAAATATACCAAAAAATACTTGGTGATATATCGATACAGCAGCCCACGATATCAATACTGTATCATCACATTAAACAATACGATATATTGATATTTTGATATTTTTGCACACCCCTACTGTGAATGTACAATGTATGAACCTTATCTGTTTTTTTTTTTTTTTTTTTGTTTTTTTTAATTGGCTTGACTGAAAACACTTTGCACATTCAAAGTAAAACGACTAGAGGTGCACCGATCCAGTTTTTGGAAATCCGATACAGATGATACTACAGATTTAAGAATCCGTCAGTACTCGATATTAACCAATACTAGGCCAAAGACTGAAAATATTACTTATTTCCTTTAAACACAAACAGCGTATGAAAACAGCCTATAAAAATGATCCAAACATGTTGTGTAAGTGTTATTTTTCTTTTAAAGTAACAAGAGAACAGCTTTGAAAAAATGCAAGTTCAATATTAGGAAGTGTTTGTGACGAGCATTGGCCAGGAAATCGTCTCATTACACCAAACATTACATTTATAGACCACAACGGGATATTGACCAAACCCATACCTTGGAACTGATATCTGATCCATCAAAAATGTCAATATCGGCGGTGATATTTAATACCACTTTTCTATACCGACAGTCTTTCAAGTGGTTAGGTGCAGTTATTACAGAAATATGAACCATAAACTAGGTCAAAACATCTGCATTTTGACAGTTAAACGGCAAATTTCACCATTCTCACTTGTTCTCCAGCTTGATTTAACTGAGTAACTTTTCTGGTAGAGGGAGGGCCCTCTGGTTACTTGTCACCACGGAGATGTTATGGCTTTACCAGCAATATTCCAAAGTACAGGGTGTCCCAAAAGTTTGACATCATTTCCAAGGCCAATAATTTTGGCAATTCTGGTTGAAATGACTTCAAATTTTCAAAGAATGTATAAAAACAGATCAAGATTTTATATTGAATGTTTTGTGTCCTGGTTTAGACCTGTTTTAGACCTGGTTTAGTCCTGGTTTCATCCTGGATAGTCCTGGTTTAGTCCTGGTTCAGTCCTGGTTTTGTCCTGTTTAAGTCCTGGTTTAGTGCTGGTTTTAGTCCTGGTTTAGACCTGTTTTAGTCCTGGTTCAGTCCTGTTTTAGTCCTGGTTCAGTCCTGTTTTAGTCCTGGTTTTGTCCTGTTTTATTCCTGGTTTAGTCCTGGTTTAGTCCTGGTTCAGTCCTGTTTTAGTCCTGGTTTTGTCCTGTTTTAGTCCTGGTTTAGTCGTGGTTCAATCCTGTTTTAGTCCTGGTTTTGTCCTGTTTTAGTCCTGGTTTCAGTCCTGTTTTAGTCCTGGTTTAGTCGTGGTTCAATCCTGTTTTAGTCCTGGTTTTGTCCTGTTTTAGTCCTGGTTTAGTCCTGTTTTAGTCCTGGTTTAGTCCTGTTTTAGTCCTGGTTCAGTCCTGTTTTAGTCCTGGTTTAGACCTGTTTTAGTCCTGGTTCAGTCCTCTTTTAGTCCAGGTTTTGTCCTGTTTTAGTCCAGTAATTTTAGCAAGCCTTGTTGAAATAACCTCAAATTTTCACAGAATGTACAGAAACAGATCAAGATTTTATATTTATTTTTTGTTTTATTTTTGTTCTGTTTTCAGGTTGAGCCGTTCACTCCCAAAGAGAAGTCATTTTGTGTCTTGGAATCTGCTGATGGTCTAATCAGATCCTTTAGTCCTGCATAAACAGTCTTCCTCGTTAGATTTTTGGTACCGAGTCCAAATTTGTTTGCCAATTGGTGAAGTTTTTCCAAATGTTGCATTGAAGACACTCTGCACAGTCTTGGTGAGTGTGTGCAGCAGATTTCAAGACACAGAATGACTTCTCTTTGGGATTGAACGACTCGACCTGAAAACAGAACAAAAATAAAACAAAAAATAAATATAAAACCTTGATCTGTTTCTTTACATTCTGTGGAAATCTGAGGTTATTTCTACAAGAACCTGCGAAATGACATCAAATGTTTTGGGACACCCTTAAACTTCTCGATCTCCACAGAAACAAGCAGGAGACGCAACCAGGCTGATTTACAGGTGAGATCTGTGAAGAGGCGACCCCACTCACAGTAAGAATACATGTGTCAACATATTTTTGAGCAGTAAAAACACCCATAAGTCAATAAATGTTTCTTTCAGCGCGACGCCGTCTGATCTGAAATGTCCACACAAATACAGACTCAACGTTTGAGAGAAGAATGAGATATATGAAGTCTTAAAGAGAGAGACAGACAGACGGAGAGAGAGAGAGAGAGAGAGAGAGAGACGAGAGAGAGAGAGAGAGAGAGAGAGAGAGAGAGAGAGGAGAGAGAGAGAGAGAGTGGAGAATGGGAGAGAAAGAGAGAGAGAGAAAGAAAGAGATAGATAGTGGAGAATGAGAGAGAGAGAGGGAGAGAGGGAGAGAGAGAGAGAAAGAAAGAGATAGTGGAGAAAGAGAGAGTGAAGGAAGAGAGAGAAAGAGTGAGACAGAGTGAAGGAGGAGAGAGTGGTGGAGAATGAGAGAAA